TGTAATAATCTGAGCAATATTTAATTTAAAAAATTTTTTCTTTAAATTAAAAAAAAAATAAAGTGGGCACAATACCATACTCTGCCTGCCAACTGCCTAGAAATGCATGAAACTGCCCACTCTGCTACATAGAAGTGAGGCACAACAGGCTCAGCCATGCAACTGAAGACACCAACTGAAGTTCTGCAGAAATATCTCAGTTATGGCAGGTTGCCACAGAGAACTCTGGCACCTAATCCCCAAGATGGGCCCCCTAGTACAGAGCACAACTGAAAATTAAGCCACCCTTGAAAGGGTCAATGCAAAAAATTCCCTGAGGAGCCACCCACCTTGTGCTCTGGCAGAGGGAGAGTGGAGTGGACTGGAGCTGTGTGAGCAGAAGCCAGGATTGGGGACTCAGAGGGTAGAGCTCAGAAGGCAGAAATCCCCAGTTTCCTGGGGTGAGTCATTCCCTCACACAGCAGAGGACATCTGTCCCACATAGAAATTTGCCTTGTTTCAGGGGAAGACAGTGGACATTCCCTATTGGAAAACACCTTGCCCTGAGGCCACTTAAGAAACTAAAAAAATAAAAAATAAAACAAAACAGTTACCCTCCAGGCAGAAGCAACTGCCCCACCACGTTGGAAAATTCTCACCATACCTCAGGACCACTGCCTGGGGCCACAAGTCAAGTCCAAATCCTATCCTTCTGTAGGTACAAGCTGTCTCTGGAGAATGAGTCTTTGCCTGATCTAATTAGTCAGAAACAACATTTAACACTGTCCTGCACCACAAATTGAGAGGTGTAGAGTATCTACCTAGTACATAGTCACAAATAGCTAAAATGAGGAGACAAAGAAACAACCCCCAAATGAAAGAACAAGAGAATTCTCCAGAAAAAGGGATAAATGAAGCAGAAATAAGAAATGTATCTGTAACAGAGCTCAGAGTATGAAGATAAAGATGCTCAACAACATGAAAAAAGATATAGTAACTGAGAAAAAGAACAGTTGAAAATAAAGAATGGCATAACACAAATAAAGAACATTGGAAGGAATAGACAGCAGATTAAGAGAACTTGAGGATCGAATCAGTGAATTAGAAGACAGAAGTGAATATATCACTCAATCAGAAAAGAAAAAATGATTAAAAAACAGGAGGATTGCCCTAGCCAGTTTAGCTCAGTGGGCAGAGCGTCAGCCTGTGAAATAAAGTGTCCCAGGTTTGATTCTGGTTAAGAGCACATGCCCAAGTTGTGGGCTCGATGCCCAGTGGAGGACTTGTGGGAGGCAGCCGATCCATGATTCTCTTTCATCATTGATGTTTCTATCTCTCTCTCCCTCTTCCTTCCTCTCTAAAATGAATAGAAATATATTAAAACAAAAACAGGAGGATAGCTTAAGTGAGCTGTGGGACAAAGTGAAATGTAACAATATTAGAATAGCTGCCAGAAGAAGCAGAAAGGAAGAAATGGATATAGAACATGTTTGAAGAAATAATGCAGAAAACTTCCCTAACCTGGAAAAGGAAAAAGTCATACAAGTTCAGGATGCACAGAGAACTAAAGCAAGAAGAACCCATAAAGGCCCACGCCCAGACACATAATTAAATTGCCAAGACTTAAAGACAAAGAGAGAATCTTAAAGTCAAGAGAAAAGCAAACTGTTAACTACAAAGGAGTTCCCATAAGGCTGACACCTGATTTCTCATAAGAAACTCCACAGGCTAGATGGGAATGACATGAAGTACTCAAGGTAATGGAAAGCAAGCATCTGAAACCAAGATTACTATATCCATTAAAGCTATCATTCAAAATCAATGGTCAAATAAAGAGCTTCCCAGACCAAAAAAAAAAGGCTAAAGGTGTAGATCGCCACCAAGCCAGCATTACAAGAAATGCAAAAGGGGACAAAAGACCTAAATAGACACTTTTCGGAAGTGCACATAAAGAAGAACAATAGACATAGGAAAACATGCTCAAAGTCACTAATCATCCGAGAGATGACAATGAGGTATCATCTCACACCTGAAATGGCTACCAACAAAAAAATCAACAAATGACAAATGCTGGTGAGGATGTGGAGAAAAAGGAACCATGGTGCACTGCTGGTGGGAATGGATACTGGTGCAGCCACTGTGGAAAACAGTATGGGTTTCCTCAAAAATTTAAAAATGGAACTCGCCAAACCGGTTTGGCTCAGTGGATAGAGCGTTGGCCTGCGGACTCTAGGGTCCCGGGTTTGATTCTGGTCAAGGGCATGTACCTTAGTTGCGGGCACATCCCCAGTGGGGAGTGTGCAGGAGGCAGCTGATTGATGTTTCTCTCTCATCGATGTTTCTAACTCTATCCCTCTCCCTTCCTCTCTGTAAAAATAGCAATAAAGTATATATTTAAAATGGCAATAAATAATTACCAGGCAATAATAACCCTAAATGTAAATGGATTAAATGCTCCAATCAAAAGGCATAGGGCAGCTGAACAGATACAAAACCATGATCCAACTATATTCTGTCTACAAGAGTCCCATCTCAGAATAAAAACAGCCTGGTACTGACATAAGAATAGGCATATCGCTTTTTTCCGCGCTACCCAGGGAGGGCTCCATACGGCGTTGTTCTCGGTTCCCACGTAACTTAAAGGGAAACTTTTCACAATGTCCGGAGCCCTTGATGTCCTGCAAATGAAGGAGGAGGATGTCCTCAAGTTCCTTGCAGCAGGAACCCACTTAGGTGGCACCAACCTTGACTTCCAAATGGAACAGTACATCTACAAAAGGAAAAGTGATGGCATCTACATCATCAATCTGAAGAGAACCTGGGAGAAGCTGCTGCTGGCAGCTCGGGCCATTGTTGCCATCGAAAACCCAGCTGACGTCAGTGTCATATCGTCCAGGAATACTGGCCAGCGAGCTGTGCTGAAGTTTGCTGCTGCCACTGGAGCCACTCCCATTGCCGGCCGCTTCACTCCTGGAACCTTCACCAACCAGATCCAGGCAGCCTTCCGGGAGCCAAGACTTCTGGTGGTTACTGATCCCAGGGCTGACCACCAGCCTCTCACAGAGGCGTCTTATGTTAACCTGCCCACCATCGCTCTGTGTAACACAGACTCTCCGCTGCGCTATGTGGACATCGCCATCCCTTGCAACAACAAGGGGGCTCACTCAGTGGGTCTGATGTGGTGGATGCTGGCCCGGGAAGGGCTC